GACACATTTGGATGAGGGGAAAAGCTAATTGTTTCTACCAGTGATGGCACATCTTACAGAGGACACCTGTACTTCCATAAAACCACTTGCAAACAGAAATGCAAAAGCATTATTTTCTCTGTCACGAGTGTGTTGTAAGTTTCATGAAGCTCCGTATTTTATTTCTAACATATACTGTTAGAAAACTACAGAATGAGGAAAAAATAATCCTATCTCTACATCTACCCTTAGTTCAAAGGTAGAAGCTGAAGTACATAATTAAACACATAACATCCTACAGCTACCTTCTTTGAACCCTTTTAAATTAAAAATGATCGCCACCACAAAAATAAACCAAGCAGGAAATTGCACCCACCAGTGATGGAACCTTCTCAAAGTACCTTCCCTGAGACTGACTTTGGGGCTGTCAAATTTCCCATTCATTACATTCTCAAATTGTGTTTTGATCCATTAGAAAAAGAAATAAAATAGGAAATGTGGGTCTGAACACCAGTATTGGCTTGAAAAAAATCAACTACCATGCGTCCTGAGTAAAAGTGTATTTAGGCCCTGGAGTATGCTGTTTAATTTAAGCAAATTAAAGGCTCCCATTTAGTAATCTGCAAGTGTCTTGGTTTCAGCCAGGATGGAGTTAATTTTCTTCACAGAAGCCGGTGTGAGGCTGTGCTTTGGATTTGGGATGAGAAAGTGTTGATAAGGTGCTGATGTTTTGAGTTGTTGCTGAGCAGTCAAGGACAGTCCAGCTTCTCGTGCTGGGCTGCCCGCGGGCGGACTGGGGGTGCTCGGGGAGGTGGGAGGGGACACGGCCAGGACAGCTGGCCCAGGCTGGCCAGAGGGATATTCCCTACCATATGACGTCATGCCCAGTTCATAAAGCTGGGGGAAGAAGGAGGAAAGGGTGGAAGAACGTTCACAGTGATGGCATCCGTCTTCCCAAGAAACCATTACATGTGATGCAGCCCTGCTTCCCTGGGGATGGCTGAGCACCTGCCTGCCCGTGGGGAGCGGTGAGTGGATTCCTTGGTTTGCTTTGCTTGCGTGTGTGGCTTTTGCTTTGCCTGTTAAACTGTCTTTATCTCAAACCATGAGTTTTCTCACTTTTACTCTT